TATTTTTTCATCTTCTGCAAACTAAAAAAAATGCGATTACCTCCCGCCCCCCCCTAATGTCATTTTGCTGCAATGAAATTTCGTCCATAAACGAAATTTCGACCGGACTACCGCTAAAAACAAAATTTCGTCCAAAAAACAAAATTTCGACCGGACTACCGCTAACGAATTTAGTCCGAATCCAAATTCCGAAACGAATTTAATTTTGAAGCCGAATCCGAAAAATCAAATAATGCAAAATCCGAATCAAAACGAAACTAAACTAAACACATTTTTTGCTGGTGCACATGTCTACAGGAAAGATGTCCAAAAACTTGAGAGAGTTCAGAGAAGGGCTACAAAATGAATAAAGGGGATGGACGGGCTGAGTTATGAAGATCGCCTCCAGAAATGAAACTTGTTCTCCTTAGAAAAGAGCCGATTAAGTGGGGACCTAATTGCAATTTTCAGAATCATTAATGGGGACCAAAATATTCAGAATAAGATGTTTACACCGAGAATTCTATTGATGACAGAAGGACACAACATGAGGTTTAAAGAGAGGCGGTTTAATCGTAGATTGTGCAAGGGTTTTTTTTTCTGTGAGAGTAGTAAAAATTTGAAATTCCCTTCCACAGACAGTAGTATCCGCTGATAGCATTGAAGAAACTTTTATATGGGTTTCTTAGTTCACTAAATATACAAGGATATAGGAACTACTAGAGCCAAGTATATAAATACACACACATACACACACACAAACACGCGTTGAACTGGATGGACCTGTGTCTTTATTCAACCTTACCTACCATGTAATTAAATGCAATTATGGATCAATCCCAATTTCTGTACCTTTAGACTCAGATCAGCCCCAATCCCTGCACCTTTAGGCAGTAGATCAGCCCAAAATCCTGCACCTTACACCTCAGATCAGCCCCAATTCCTGCACCTTCTGATCTTAGATCAGCCCCAATTATTGCACATTCACCACAGCAGAAGTCAGATCTTGGTAAGTATACATCTATGGAGGAGGAGGGCGGAATCAGTTAGCTTAAGGCAAAGGGGCAAAAAGGATAAGCTAGGTGTAAAAGTCTGCAGTGCTCCTACCCTTGGTGCCCTAAGCACAGGCTTAGCATCTTCAGACTTCATATCAGCCCCAATTCCTGAACCTTCCGACCTCAGATCAGCCCCAATTCCTGCACATTCTGACTTCAGATCATTTCCATTTCCTGCACCTTCTGACTTCAGATCAGCCCCAATTCCTGCACCTTCTGACTTCAAATCATTTCCATTTCCTGCACCTTCTCACTTCAGATCAGCCCCAATTCCTACACCTTCTGATTTCAGATCAGCCCCAAATTCCTACACCTTCTGACTTCAGATCAGTTCCAATTCCTACACCTTCTGACTTCAGATCAGCCCCAATTCCTACACCTTCTGACTTCAGATTAGTTCCAATTCCAGCACCTTCTGACTTCAGCGTCCACTTCCCTTGGTGCGCAAAGGGAAGGGGGCACCAAGGGAAGGGGGCCTAAGCACAGGGGGGGCCTAAGCACACGCTTATTTTGCTGAATGGCTAATCCATCTACATACGGAATGCACTCCGTATGTCCTGCTTCCCCCTCTGTTTGATGATATCATGTATTGTACAATTATGAATTCCCCACCGCTTTCCGTCCTGGTAATAATGGTTAAACACCTGACCCCACTCTATCCAAATAAAAAAAACTTTACAAACATTGTAAAGCATCATCATTTTCGCCGCACTCCAAACATTCGGCGGCTTTTATGTAACCTTTTATATACTTCTTTCTCACTTCCCCACAAATCACACGTTTAGTTCAGCCGTGTGTTTTATGACACGCTGAGCATGCTTTATGATCAGCATCCATTCTTTTTTTAGACTGGAGCGCTGGAAAGTACACAGCACACAGGCCAGATGTGAAAGCATTGAGTCTTGCGGTTAATTCTCTGCAATCATCTGTAATGTACAGTAAGGCATCTGTTTAAGCGCGGTTAATCTGTTGGAATCTGACTTGCGTTGCCATGAAAAAAAAAAAAAAGGTCCATCGCCGTCTATTTTCTGAAACCTCCTTTATGGGCAGCGGCATCCCCCGGAGAAATACTTTTTCGTTTGTGAACTTTTGCTGAGTGTTTCTCGCTGGGGAACAAGCAGAACTATCTTTTTTTTTATTTCTGTTTGAAATATTGCTTTCCTCTCCCCGGGTCCAGATGGTCTTCGGCAGCCTGATGAGACAGAAGTCCTGGCTCAATCGTACGTGTCAGAGGATGTACCCAACATAGGAGTCTCGATGGGAATTAGCCGAAAGCAGATGTCTTTCGTTTTTGTTTTGCTTTTGGAGACGCTGAAAAGGTGCACGGAAATAATTCTCGGCTAAGCACGCGTACAAAAGTATAATCGTGTATCACACATCCTTCGCCTTGTCTAATGGCCACTTGAGCATGCAGAACATTGAATTCCATCTCGTTGGCATGTTCCTATATAAATTCCTAGCATGATAAAGTGTGTCTGTCAAAAGAAGGACGGGGATGGCTTTGCCTGGCAAGGGAATCGCATGAAAGACTCTTCAGTCCTGTGTAAAAAAAGAAAATAAACAGATTAAAAAATAAATAAATAAATATAAGTTACAATTAACCACAGAAGGGTATATATAGTGAAACTCCAGTTTTAATGAGAAAAAATCCTTAAAGCGGAACATCAGGTAGATATAAAAGACACAAATGAATGCAGCTCTGTACTCATTATTCCATTACATTTTTTTTTTTTAAATGACAGCAATATAAGTACCTGGATTTGACTTGATAACGGCCTCTTGCAATCCCTGTACAGCAGAGCCCAGACAGACAGAGGGAGAAGCAGCACAAGGGACCAATCATTTTTTTTCAGTACCTATGTGCTAACGAGCAAATCGTGGGAGGGGCTGGCAGGTGCTGTACATAGCTTCCTGAAAACATCACAGTACTCCTCTCAAGAGCCCTCACTTTTGATCAGGGGTGTCCCTAGACCCCCAGCCATCCGAGTTGGGGGAGCAGTGGCAACTCACAACAAGGAAGGAGGGGAGCTGGCAGCCGGGTGGGGCACCTGGAGGATACTGGTGGTGCACGGCAGTGGTGTTACCTCCAGTGTCCCACCCAGCTTACTGATGTCTGTGGCTGCCAGAGCTAGGCGGGATGCCAGCCAGAGCGTCCCGCTCAGCTCCTGGAAACCAGTGACATTACTGGTTGCCACGAGCTGGGCGGGTCACCAGCCAGAGCATCACGGGATGCTAAGCTCTTAGCAACCTGAGACGCTCGGGCAGGAAAGGGGGCAGCAGGCACACCTGCCGCCCTCCCCAACACGTGACCCAATGAGATGCCTCAGGCTGCCTTATTATTAGAACGGCCCTGCTTCTGATGCAAGCAGAGGTCTGCCTCTTGGTTGGAGTTATGCAAATATCAAAATGCCTTGATAGGTGGATGTCAGTCTGGTGCATTGGGAGTTCATAGGCATTTGCATGCCGACTTCTCTAGGTAACACCCAAACGTGATGCTGAGTATTTATGTAATGTAGTGTAATACTGCATTATGGCCACTAGATGTAGCATAGGAAATAAGTATTATTTATGTAATGTAGTATAATACTGCATTATGGCCACTAGATGTAGCATAGGAGCATAGGAAATAAGTATTATTTATGTAATGTAGTGTAATACTGCATTATGGCTACTAGACATACATACATTTTAACATCTTAAAATCTGCTCCACATGCATTTGCCCACTATTCTTCAAAAGCCAAGAGGTGTGGTCATGTGATCAGCTGCCATGGGGAGCAAGATAAAAAATTTTTAGCAAGACAGCAAACCATTTCAGAAATTCTGTTTACATCTACCGATCTGAAAATATGGGATGAGCAGGAAGGCCGTGGTCTGCTGCTTAGGTATAGGACCACTTTATGCACCCCCAGAAATCATAGAGCCCTATTGGGTTATTTCTGACCTGTCCAAAAATGTGTATTTTTTCCAAACCCCCAATTTTTTTTTGCAATGAACCCACAATTTGTGGGACTGGATCGGCGGATCCTCCTTTGAATGGAATGTGACCAGTTCTTTCATCTCGATATCTAACTTTCATATGCACGTCAATTCGATTTGAATACCTAAAGTTAATGATCTACAAAATCCCGTGTGTCCCTTCTAAAGTGGATGCCGCAGAAATCAGAGAGAGAGGAAAGACAAAAATATATTCCCCTTCCCTTTAAGGTTGACTAATTTTATTTGGGCTTTAAACTTTGCGATGCTCCGCAGCTCGCCGAATAAATAAATAAAAATGTTTCCCATCTTTTGACAAGCGGCCGCATCACTGATCGCAGTTAAACAAAATAAATACACGGCGAGCATATTTCATTTTTAACATTAAAGCGGGAATGGTAAGTATTTGTTTTAGAGGAATGCTCTGTGTGCTATCATGAGTGAGAGGGGACGGAGGAGCCATGTGTAGCTTCTACAGCGTGCCGGTGAATTATTTGTTTGCCTTGATGGCACAATCAAATGTGATATTTTATTATGTCAAATGCTGATAAAATCCATTCTGTGGGTGGATTATAGAGCACACCCTTAGTTTAAGCCTACAGTAAATATACTTAGGGGTCTATTTATATACGATTAGCAAAGCCATTTGCCCTGTGAATGTCTGTGAATGTTCCTACTGTGTGAATAGAGGCTCAAATTAATGTTCTTAATATACATTACCTTTATGTATTTTCATTTTAGGTTGAATGTAATGTAATACCTAAAATGACCTCTAGATGGAGCGGAAGAGCATAAGAAATAAGTATTTAGTATTGTAATGTAATACTGCATTATGGCTACTAGGTGGAGCTACTAGGTGGAGCAAGTATTTATGTAATGTAATACTGCATAATGGCCACTAGATGATGGCCACTAGATGGAGCATTTTATTTATTTTATATTTATTGGTATCTATATAGCGCTGACAATGTACTCGGCATGTTACATTGTGCACATTCACATCAGTCCCTGCCCTCAAGGAGCTTACAATCTAAGATCCCTATCTCACATGCATACATAGAGGGCCAATTTAGACAGGAGCCAATTAACCATCCAGCATGTCTTCAGAGGGTGGGAGGAAACTGGAGTACGCGGAGGAAACCCACGCAAGGGCAGGAGGAAGACGCAGGCTCCTTGCAGATAGTGCCTTGACAGGGATTTGAACCAGGGACCCTCAGTGCATAGGAAATAAGTATTTATGCAATGTAATGTAATACTGCATTATGGCCACTAGATGAAGCATTGGCACATAGGACATTTGTATTTTTTTCTTCTATGTTTTACAGCTCCATCTAGTGGCCATAATGTGGTATTATAATACAAAAATGAGGAACCATCACACAAACTGGGACACCACCCCTATATATACAATATATATTAAAAAAAAGGGGGAAAGAGAAAGAAAGGGGCTTTGTGGTGACCACTGGAGAATAGCAGGGAATTGATCCAACAATAAAGTCAATTGATTCATATTTATAATAAAATTCAATTTTTAATATACTCAATTCATAATGTCTATACATATAAATATGCTAAAATTCATCCATATAAAACCATAACTAGATGTATACAACATAAATAACCTCCCTGGAACCCACACAGAAACCATGATTATAAATTCATATATTGGTCATTGTCCTCATTGTATTTATATCTTATTTGCATGATTAATTGTACATAATTGTTCTATATATCATTAGTTCAGCCATGATTCTGTGCTTGCTCCAGTCTTCAACGCGTTTCGCCGAGGCTTCGTCAGGAAGATTTGGAGAGGTTAACCTATAGTATTTGTATGGGTATGAGAATCAATTTGCAGTAGTCTACATGATATTAGATATATCAGAATCATTAATATCTGCTGACCATATATCTTTATAATGCAGTAAATACCAACTTAATTATTCTTTTTCCGGTAATTGAATATCCATCTGCAGGGAGTCAACCAGGTTGGGTGGGGACAACCAGGAGACAGGAGCGCCGGGGGGAGGCAGTCCGAAAGCAAGGAAGCCAAGCATCCGTCCCAATCGTACCTATAGGGTTAGATTATATATTCCTGATCTCTATTCCAATAATTGCCAACACATCCATAAGCCCATAGTCCTAGGGAAATTGCCCTGAACAAACAGATTACC